TTTGGGAATGAAAACAAGACTTACCATGCCTGTATTTAGTGGTTGCCATGAACATAACTGGCAGTCCAATGGCAGAAGAAAGAATCCAGTTGCAGACGTTAACTATTTTTGCATTTCTGGGGGTACGAAAATCAAGGGCCTTAACTGGGTGGCAGACAGCTACATAGCGATCCACACTCATGGTGCAGAGCGTAAAGATACTGGTGAACATATTGTAGTAGTCTATGGATATAACAATTTTACAAAGGATTGTACCAAATGGCCATGTTCCCATCAAATAATTCACGCTCTGGAATGGCAGAGTACTTGTTGCTAATGCATCTGCCAATGCAAGATTGAAAATATAGATATTGGTGGCAGTCTTCATTTTCGTGTACCTAGAAAAAAAAATCAGCAAAGAATGTGAATGACCAAAACTATCAATGTCAAACAAAATTGAGGCCAGAACAACACCCCATAATCAGCCCATAAATCATGGTAAGTGACTTTCAGATTAGCATACCAGAGGATGGGTAGAGAAAAACTCAGAATAAATGGAACACCATCTCTTCACTGACACTACGATGGGCCTTATTCCACTTAAATATGACACAATTTTTGGTTTTGGTATCTTGTTTTCATTGTTGGTTTAAGCCTAAAAGTTCTTGGACTTTCCATTATTTCATGTAATGGGCTCTGTACGCTATTAATGAAAGATTCTGCTTGATGTACTCTGTAATCTTTGTTTTTCTAATCACCGTTTTCTTACAAAGAAAGGAATCCAAGCTTTTGCGGTGATAGAAAGCATTTACTTCCATAATTGCTTAAACAACAAAAGCCTACTGAAATTCACAATATTCCTTTCAGTGATTTCTATGGGATTTGAGTATTGCTCTGTACTGAATATTTAGAGATTTTATAAAGAGCTTATTTCTAAAAAGCACATTTTGTTAAAGGTGTATTTCTCCAAATAAGTAGATTATCAGTGTCCCCAGGATTGTATTTTTTATATGAACAAATAAATACTGAAAATTGATTAAAACAGATTTTTAACAGCATGGAAAATAATGGTCCTCAAAATGGAGCTCTTCAAAGCCTTGATCTTAGCTGTTATTATATCTGTTCTTAAGGTATACTTAAGTCTACCTATTTGAAGAAAACGTACAAACAGTTCTATCAAATTGCTATACTTCAGAGGGACTGGATTTTACATGTAATTAAAGTCACAGGCTATCTATAGAGCTAACTTATAATGCTGAAAGTACTGTATTTATAAATGTGATCTTTTAGCAGATATTGTTTTCACACTTTCATTCAAGGCCATTAAAGAATCTTAAACCAAACAAATGTGTAAAGAAAAAATCTTAAAGGCAAGCCCCAGAAAATGTGAATGCTGGTATTTAAATTAGATTGGCAGTTTAGTATCTGAAACACTGACTACATTAAGTTTTGCATTACACTGAGTAAAGTTGCAAGTGAGGACAGAAGCTGGCTTTGAGCAACATTACTTTTATTTTCACAGCTCTGCAGTGAAATATGAATACAGTAACATGATGACTCAACATTTTGGTGAACATTTAGCTCAACAGTGCCATGGATAAATATTCAATTTAACTATGCTCATTACAATACTGACACCCAACAATATGCTTCTTCTATCTCCTCATGGCAGGTTTTGTACCGTAAAACATCAATTTTTATACAGTGTTTTTTGTTGATATTAGGAGATGATAGATCAGATTCACAACTTTAAGTCTGTCTAACTCTGTAGGCAGCACTCAGTCTTGCTTTTATCTGTTCTAACCAGCAAAGATTTAAAATACACTTGAAGATTTGAGCTGCAGAGATCCACTCAACTGGGATTTGGTTGGAATAAGCAAATGCACTAAGGAAAACCCTTAGAATCCTTCTGAAATAGCCACTAAGTTCCTAGCACTCCAGGATAAATAAAAACCTTCAACTGCCAGGCCATGGGTCAACTTTAGTTTGCAAACCAAACAAAAGGTTCATCAAACTAACCTAGATAGACTCTGCTTCCATTGTACAAAGTGTAATAGCACCTTGAGCAGGGGAAATGCGCACCTTGCCATCCACATCCTTACATGCAAGAAGAAAGAGATGTGTTCATGCCTGTGCATCTCTCTCTTTCTGTAAGATGTGTGCCACAGCTCTGTTTGTGGTCCACTTCAACAGGGAAGTCTCCAGATGATCACCTCTAAATATTTTGAAGAAATGTTTTAAGTCTCAATGGCTCAAATAAAGAGCAAATTAACATGAATAATGTACATTCTCGAAGGGAGGAAGGAAGGAAGGAAGGAAGGAAGGAAGGAAGGAAGGAAGGAAGGAAGGAAGGAAGGAAGGAAGGAAGGAAGGAAGGAAGGAAGAGAAAGAAAGAAAGAAAGAAAGAAAGAAAGAAAGAAAGAAAGAAAGAAAGAAAGAAAGAAAGAAAGAAAGAAAGAAAGAAAGAAAGAGAAAGAAAGAAACGAAAAGAAAGGAAGAGAATTTAGTTCATAGCATGCTTTTCCTAAGCCTAATAGACACAGCTGATAGACTGGCACCTGAGTCTTGTCCAATGGACAAACCATTTCCATTCATGTGTGTTGTTGAAATATAGACTCCTCAAGACCCTTCAGCCCTTTTGTAACACATCAGTCTTACACCATCTTTGTACCACTGTCTGGTGCAAAGGCTAAACACAGACCATGTCTCTGGCTTCTTTGCATATCTTAGGAGATAGAATGGCTGATGGAAGATTGGTAACAACTACTTTCAGCAGCACAAAGTCTACGGACAAAGCTTTTGTCCATAGAATGCTAATTTGGAGACGAAGGCTGCTTCAATTGATCTGTGTTTAAGTAAAATGCAAAATATATGAAAAACTAGCTTAATTAGAAAAGATTCATTGCAGAAAGCAGCCATTTGTGAAACTTGCTTGGCTGCTCAAAGAAACAACAGACAGCAATTACGTCTTGCATTCAGACAACCTCACATAACTCTTGTTGATGCTGGAGATTAGGTTAGCGTTCAAATTCATGTTCTTCCTGCATAAATGACTTGTTAAACAAATGAAGAATCATTATGTGCATGCATTAGATTAGTTGAGGTCTCCTTGGGTGGGAAGATTAAAACATGTGAAGCATGCCTAGTTGAACCAATTTAAATGAACATTTATTTTCATGGCTGTTCTGGTACATCTTGTACATGCAACCCCCCAAAAAAAGGATTTTTTTTGTGTGTGTGTGTGCTTTCCTAAAACATGAGGTATATTCAATTTTTATTGAGACGTTGATGGTTTGACAAAGGTTTAGTCTGGGCTGGACAACCCTTTCTTCTCTTTAACAATCCAGTAAGCATGTTTGATGCTGAAATGATGTCTCTCTGCTAGGCCATATCCTGAAAAGTACCTTTGGTCTCAAGTAATAGAATTAACTGATGGCTATCCTTTCTAATTGTCCTTTTCCTTTCTTTGCATTGCAGTGGGTCTCTTTCTACAATGTTAAAGACCTGCTCAGTATCTCAGTTACAACTGTGGTTTTGTAGGAGGCTGCTACTGATTAAAGCTTTGAAAGCTTTAAAAGTAACATATGTTCTGTAAGAGTCTAATCTACCTGTCTGGGACCGCATGGTTTCATCAGCTTAAAGACTTGGTATTTGATTCTTATATTCATAAATACTCCAGAATACTTATGCTGTAAAGCCATTAAACTCAAGCTCTACGTACAAGCAACATAAATTTATGTACAAACCTTACATGTTATTATGTAGTCAGGCCATCTGGATTGGAGGTGACATACTGTGGTTAACAATCAACTCGTCCTTTTGATTTATGTTCCCCATAGGAGATTACATACGTGGATGTAATTCAAAAATAACAATCCCTCAGGGAAAGGATGCAAAAAAAAAAACAAAAAAACAAACAAAACAAAACAACAAGAACAACAAAAAAAAACAAACACAGAAAACAAAACCAACTCCAGCAGGTACAACACTATAGCAGAAAATGTTCATGCTTAATCAAAGTGAAATTCTGCACATTTGCTTACTTCCTGCACTGACCCTGAGTTTGGGGGCAAAAACTGAACTGGGGAAGGGAACAAAATGTACTGCCATTAAGACAGACAACCGTTTGCTGCCATTCAAACCTTGCCAGTCACTTCTGTGAAGGAGATCAGAGTGCAAATGCTGAACTCTGTTGGTGAATATAGAGCACCATGAAGTTGCCTGAAGATAAAATTAATCTGGCTTCTCTCTCAGATTTTACATGATTACAAGACAGCAAAACCTAACTAAGCTTTGGGGTTGTGAAGTGTGTATTGGTGGTTTAATTAGAATCATTAAAAATTCAAACAAATACCAGGCATCGCTTCAGGTGCCAAGGCATGACATACTAAGTGAGTGTGATAGGCCTAAGAGTGAAAGGCATAGTTATTTGATGTACTTGGTGGGGAATGCAGCAAGTCCTACAACCACAGGATGCCAAAAAAGCTGTCCTCTAACTTCCTCGCATACCAGCAAGTGGATGCATGTTTGCTAAAGGAGCTTCAAGGTATGTTCTCAACGTGGATCTGAATGTAGGAAACACAACTGCTTCAGCTGCTACCTCTTTTCTCCCTCATCCTTTGTTTTCCCACTGCTAAGTCCATTTTTCACTTTATTCTTCTCCATAGCAAAAGTGAACTGAATCCAGAATTTCACCAAAGTTTACTTCCCAAGCTATCTTCCTATCTTTGACTTCCCAGCTTGATCTTTCCCCATATCTAGCTGTATTAAGGCATGTGCAGACCCACCACTTGGTGGCTTTTGCTCACACAGCCCAGTTAGGAAAAGGAAACAGAGCACACCACTTTTCATGGAGGAGCATCTGCTCAGGTCCTCTTCTCCTGTACTCAGAACCAATTAGCAACTTCAATCAGGCCTCAGCTTTGGGGCAGGGAGAGCTAAATGAAAGCCTCTGAGGCAGACACGACTTTCTTCAGACACCATTGCTGGTCTTTTCAGGAATGTTGTTGTGCCAATAACAGAGAGTCCTGAGGGCATTTGACTCATCCTGTTTTCAATTAATTACAATAATGTGTTGAGCTTTGGGCTAAAATTCTCTTGCTGTGTATCTGCTGTTCCTGCTTTTTTTTTTTTTTTTTTTTTTTTTTTTTTTTTTTTTTTGTTACTGAGAGGGATCATATGGTGTTCTTTCTGCTCTTTGGTTTGAATTAGTAAGCTTAGTCTTTTCCCAGGGGAAAAAACTCCCCCCCCCCCCCCCCAATAATAAATCAACAACAAGAACAACAAAATAAGCTTCTATCTTTGGGAAAAACAGCTACTTTACAGGGGAAGGCTGGTCCTTTCCCTTCCGGTCTGAATGAAAGGATTAACTAGCAGGAAGATTAATCCAGACAGAAAACACAAACTCCACAGTGACCAACAGGTAACTATCTTATTATCATATTTCTCTCATTATTTTCATGCCTTTTTAATTACATGTATATGCAAAATATCCTTGGAGCCAGCTAAGGACAGGTCCTTAGCTATATATATCCACATCAATTTGCCAGGCAAACATTCAAGATGTTACAATGTCTTATAACTCCTATTACCCTAATTTATTTTTCTTTTCCCAGACACCACCTACAGCTATTTAATAATAAAAAGAAATGACAGTAACATGTATGCTCCAATTCCCATACGGTCAACTGCTAGTACACTGAACTCTTCCCCTCAGCCTAGTAAAAAAAAGGGAAACGTTATCCCCAAATTATTCCAGGACTTACTCTGTTGTTAAGCCACCTTTAGCTCAGTTTCTGTGTGCTTGGAAGCACGTATGAGTTGTCAGTAATGGCTGTTGCTTTCACAGTGATTGTGTAACACATCTCTGAGAAATAAATCAATGGTGCTAAAAACAATAACTCCAATATATTGTCATTATCAGGCAGCGGGTGCTTATTGCTGAAGTTTTTTCCTTTGCCAGGAAGAAGTGCAAAGGAGAACTGTCAGCATCTTTAACTTAACTTTCTCCCCTGTGCATTCAGGGAAGTGTGATTGGGAGTGAAACCACTGACTATATCAATGATAACTGAGGTGAATTTTTTATAGGAGGGACAAGTTAACAGCTATTTTCCCTATTTTCAGAAGAGAAGAGATCTTCCAGGTGCTGGTTCCCTCCTCCTGGTTTCTGTTCTTATCTCCTCATGTGAGGACTGTACATGAGACATCCCCTACCTAGTTCACAAGCTGGCAGGGAAGCTTTTGAAGGTAGTTTTGCTGCTAGAAGGTATAAGATCCACAAAAGACTGACGAGGAACAGCAGTTGTTATCCTCCCTGGTAAAAGGCTATCATAGTGAATATACAGAGTCTTTTCTGTGCAAGAGACAAGGATTTTCTTGTGAATGTGTTAAGTGTGATCTTGAAAGGAGCAACAGAGGTGAGATAAAGAGACTGGAGAGACTGGAGAGATGGTAAAGCTGCAGGAAGATGTGCCTGTAAAGCGAGAGAAATGGGGAAAGCTGGAGATGATGGAGAAAGGCATGACAGACAGATGGAGCAAGACTGTGTGTTTTGAGAAGACCAAATGAAAAGTACAAGGAAATATGGATTTGGTCCCATGTGACAAGGATGAGAGAGCATCTGATACTAGAGCTCTAATGGAGGAACTGATTCCATCATTTTAGGAGGATTTGTGAAACTGGTTTCCTGGATAATTTTTCTACAGAGGCAGCAGATCCTAGGGCTGGAGGTCAGCACTGAGCAAGGGGAGAACAGCACAAGGCACCTTAACCGCTGCTCCTTGCTCCGCTTCAAAAAAGACTCCTGTTACACTGGGATTGCTCTGTACCATGCAGTGAGGAGGAGACGCCCCATCCTACACAAGCAGCTTTGTTTTGAGGTTTTATTCCTGATCTGAGGTACAAGATCTTATAGCTGATAATTGAACACTTCTCAGTGAGAAGGTGGAAAAAATGTGCTATTTCATGTTCTTCACAGTTACTTGAGTAGCTATAGTCTGTCATCTTTACTTTTTTTTCATCATGCAAATTCAAAGGGAAATATGAATAAAATTTAAAAGTGTTTATCATTGAACAGATGAATGAGAATGCTTTTTAACAGTTAGGCTAAGCTGTGGAACTCCTTGCTAGTGAATACCCTTAAAATCCAACTTCCAAAGGGGAACAGGGTCTTTGAAAGATAATGATAGCATCCCCACTAATACACCAATAAAGACAAATTCCATGGTACAGGCAAAGATGATTATGAGAAGAACTTTGAGATAAGCCTAATAGCAATTCACTAAATATCTGCTTTCAGGTTTTTCCAAGATATAGTTATAATGAATGGATTTGTGTTTTGAAGATAATTATCAAAGACTGAAAGCTTATTTTCACTTGGAATTGTAATGAAAATAAATAGGTTCTTTTTGAAAGTATCCATTAATGAGGATCTCTAGAAAATGATTTTACTTCAGAAAATGATTGTTGAAAAGTGGTAATAAAAACAGCTTTGTTGAAAAGTGGTAATATTTGTGAAAATTTATTTCCAACCTTATTTTAGATTCTGTTTTATTTAGGATTGCTGCATGGAAATGTTCACAGAAAATGAAAAAAAAAAGCAAAATGTTCACAGAAAGATGTTGAAAAACATGCTGATGCAAACTGCAGCTCAGAAAGTCTGTCCGCAGTGTAACAGACTGCTAGAAGGAGTATCACACAGAGATGCTGCTATTTCTTCTACTCTTTGTCTAAACACCAGCTACTGGCTATGGCTGGAAAAGAGGTCATTAAGTTAAGAATGATACTGAAACATTCATAATGTTTTGTCTGAGATATTTGTATGTCATCTTTTCATCTAGTTGCCACAAAAAGTCAGTAATATTACACTGTTTTTTACGAGGAAAGTAAAAACATTTTGGAAGTGTTTAACATTATTTTTCCTGCAGGCCATCATCAAAATGATACTCCAGAAAATACAGCAGGATCAGAACAGTTTTTCCAAGAGGAATTGAAAGAGAGGTGAAGTTTTATGTCCACTTCTGCCCAGGATTGCCAGGGGGCAGCTGCTGGCTAAGTGTAGGGACCTCCCCTGTGGGGTCAGCCCCATGTCCCACGGGTGGGAGCTGGCTGGGGCCAGGTGCCAGGTGCCCATGGTGCCACCAGCTCTGGAGAGGCTGCTGGATAGTATCCTGTACCTGCCTCCTGCTCCTGAGGCAGACCAGGGCCATTCAGGGGTCTCTGACCATGGTCCTATCAATATAATTTAAACAAAAAGAGAATAAAAAGGTATCAGTGGTGTTTTACCTATCTGCTTCCCTTGATCCTGGGGGAGGGAGGGGAGCATCTCACTAGTCAAACATTTACCCATTAGCAAAGGTTAGTAAACTTCTACTGCAAACAGTGTGCAGAGACACCTGCCTTTCTGTAATGCCAGATGCTAAGGCTCACCCTCTCACTGTACCTCTCATTTAACTCGCCTTCTGTGCTGTTCCTGACCAGTCAGGCTCCTTCAGTTATGTCCACAGATCTTCTCTGACTTTTACCAGTGAGCACCATGAATTCATAATAGACATTACTGGTTAAGGCTGCTGGTAACAACACGGAGGTGGAAATATTTGTTTTCAGACAGCTGACAGCATCAGCATACACAGTGCTACCCAAATGCAGAGATGTTCATGTGACTGTGGGAAGGAAATAAAAGAATTAATTTTATGGATTTCTTGGTTTCTAAATTCCCTGATGTATGTTGCTACAAGACATTCTGTGGGCCTTCTTTCACACTGCTTCTGTGACTCCATGTTGCCTTGCAAAGAAGAGCTCTGTTTTTTAGAGAAATTGTCTTAATTTCAGCCTCTTTCAAGCTTGAGATCACTTTCAGCTTATTTCTCTAATCTGACTCTCCACTTCAAATGCTATAACCTCTTTGTAAACTCCCCAATTCTCCCCTTCTTTACACATGTGTGATAATACTTATTCCTCTGGAGACATCAATTCTTCCTATAATTGAAATTTCACCCCAAATTCCCTTCTTAATAAAATACTTTTCCTGAAGCTTGAGTGAGCCAGGTTGTAGTAAACAGAGCTTTCAGTACAGTGGAGTCTTTCCAAATTAGATGACGTTTCAGTCACAGCTTTTTTGTTTGTTTTGTTTGTTTTTCTTTTCAAAACATTTTTAAGATGTTGGTTTGAGAAATGTAAAAAGCCTCTTTTGCTTCAAAGAGGGTTTCTTTCCCTATTTAAATACCGTGGGCTTTTTTTTTTTTTTTTTTTTTTTTTTTAACTGGAGTAATCATTTACTGTAATGAAATAAGGCATTTCTCTCCTCCTGCGAAGGACCACAGAGTACCTCAGGCCCCTTTGTTTATGATATGTGACAAAATTAATAGCAAAGCAATCAAGGCATCACTCTTGACTTGAGTGGCGCCAGCAGCTACTGATGGAATCACAGTCCTCTCGGGGCACTTCACATGGTGGAGTGCTGGGGCCTCAGAGAGCTACTCCATTCTTCTAGACCAGTGATGCCAAAGATGTTCTGCAACAATCTTTCACAGCTTTCCAGCATTGTGCATGCGGCCTTAATCACAGGGCACATTCTTCCCACTCTGATGTGTGACTAATATCCCACTGACTTGACTAGAAAGCAGGAAAAGCCTATAGATTACTGTGCAAATTAATTCAATACCATGTGGTACTAATTGTGCACTGTCTTGTTGCACTTTGCAGCAGCTAGAAGTAGCGTTTGTTGTTGGCATGCCCGTAACTACACTGTGTTCATATCAGCAATTCACACTTACACAAAACACATAAGGAAAACAGATAATAAAAATTATCTACAGATTTTTCAGATTACTGGAAATTCATAGCTGGCAGTAAAACCTGACTATTATCGCTGTCACTCAGAAGACATATTTTATACTTCACAAAGGGAACAGCTCAGTGTTAGTAACATGGGGTTCAGCTTCACACACTGCAGATCTAACATGCTGTAAATATTAATTCAAGGAGGAAAATATTCAGCTGAACAGAAAGCATTTGGAAGAATAAGGGGGGTGGTTGATGTTGCATTCTTTATAAAGAAAGAGGTATACAAAGCCAGTGTCACTGTGGATTGATAATGACATCAATTCCACATCAGGCAAGCACTTGCACGGCTCCAGCTCCAAGCCCATGGATCTGCTTCACGTGGAAGAGTTGGAGTGGCTGGATGGAATTTTAAGGTCATCTGTTTATAAGAACATTATAGTTATTACAAAACATATTTCTAAAAAAGCTAAACGTCATATTAACATGCAGCACTCTGAATAGGAAGCCATTGTTGCTTTCACTGGGGCTGGAATCTGAGAGGTGAATAAGGACAGAGTTTCAAAAATCTAATCATTTACCTCAGGATTTGCAAGGTAAACTAGGTACCGATATCACTTTAAAATCTTCTTTCTAGTAGTATTAATTCTTCTCAAAATTAATACAAACTTCAAAACCTCCTTTTTCTTGAGCTGGCATGGTGTGAAAGGTAGATAAAGAAGGGGAGCTTTATGTTATGTCAATTGCAATTCAGTGAAAGGTGTGCCACATATCCTTGGCTGGATCTAAGGATACACGAATGTGAGCACATAATCTCATAATTTCATATGCACATTTAGTATGACTGCAAATGCTGTCATGGTGGTATAGCTTTCAACAAGAAATAAATCAAAAAGTTCCCTACTGCAGCTCAGGTAGACTAAACCTATATAGAAGCATAGAAAGGAAAGGCATTTTGTGATGCTTAAACCACAGATCCTATTCAACCATAACATGCAAGCTCTTTTTCATCCCAGATTGGTAAATAAGTGTATGGTATTAACTTGGAAGGAACTCTGTCATATGGAAAGCCGTTCTTGTTGTGAAAGCACAGGAGACCTGGATTCAGTCCTGTCTTTGCCACAGAATTCCTGGGTGGTTTTGGGGAAGCCACTTAATTGATTTGTGTTTTCCTCTGTAAAATGAATATACTTTTTTTTTTTTTTTTTTTGTCTTCTCCTATTACTTCCAGCTTTTGTTTTTAAGCTATAATCTCTGGAAAGGATGCTCTCCTAAGATAGAAAGCTAAATGTAGATGCCTTGTTCATTTTAGCTTTGTGGTGTAAGTGTAATTGAATTAATTAATGCAAGAAATATGAACCTAGAACAGGTTATGCCCACTATAAATACATAACTCCAGGGACGACCTGCAGCATATGCTCTGCTGACAACCATCCTGTCTCTGTTACACTGTGTGTCTGCTTTTTCTCCCAGGGAATGCATTCAACACTTGCTCGTACAATTGCAGCCATGAGCACTTCTGCAGCCGTACCTTCGTACAGTCTCCAGAGAGAGCATGAATCTCTGGCTGACCAAAACCACACACCAGTAGAAGAGCTTCCCAGCTCTGCCTATTTAGAAAATAATCTCTAAAGTATAGTTGTAGTTTGAGCCACTGATGCACACAACGTGTGATCCCATTAGGTTTACGAGCTGCACAGGCTTTGCAGTGACATCCCCATGACACGCTGCCACATGCAGAAGGAAGCATCCTCCACCACGCCGTTGCATCCTCCTCAGCTCCGGCTTTTTATGGCCAGCACTGCCTGTAGCAAAACCGGTACGGAGCCTACCGGTGCCTGCGGGGCTCCTGCTGCCCGCTGCCCGCCTGCTACCCCGACCCCTCGGCACCGCTCAAAGGGAACCGGGCTGCTTCGCGGAGCCGGAGAGACCGGAGTCCCGGGGCGAGAAGGGAGCGCACCCCGGGGGCACCCTCCAGCAGCTCCCGTGGGTGGTTCCCACGGGCAAACACCGGTCCCGTCCCGTCCCGTCCCGCCCCGCCGCTCCGGGAGGTGGCACTGTTCCTCCACGGAAGCCGCCTACCCCGACCCCACGCAACCAAAGGAGCCCCCCCCCCTCCGCTTTTTCTTTTTTTTTTAAAGATTTACGGCAATGAGATTTGTCACGCGTGGAAGACGCGCTTGCGAGTGACCTTGTAGAGCGCGGCGGCAGCTTGCGGGGGAGAAAGTCGCGACATGCGACAGCGCGGCTGGGCTGCTGGCAGAGGTCTCGACCCCCGCGTTTTTACACACGTGCACACGCACGGAGGTATATACGCACATACAGATACAGACGGATATAAACATGCACAGCAACACTTGGGGGAGCGCATCTATACGTCCTGGCGGAAGGCGCTCAGCCGCGATGCCATTGTAATTTGCTCCTGCCTTTGGTCTGGGGTCGGCTGCGGGGATGTGCACCGCCTGTCTGTGAGCGCATCCTCACACACAGCGACCACAAGCTCTAAAACCCTCCCTGCCCAGCGGAGAGGTGCAAACTTCAGCCCTGGCCGGGCAGAGAGCAGCGGGGCCGCAGCACGGCGGGGTCGCAGCGCATCTCCTCGCAGCGCGGCGCCCAGCCCCGCCGCCCCGTCGCAAGTTTCCTCCTCCCGGTTTTTCTCCCTCCCTGGCCCCTTCCCCACAGCCCCTTTCCACTCCCCTCCCCTCCGCCGCCCCAGCGCGACCCCCGTCCCCCTCCTCGACGGCGGCGGCGGGCCGGGCGGGGCGGCACCCACCTGACGATGACATACATGACCAAGAAGTTGCCGAAGAGCCCCAC